CACCATTTTCATTACACTTGCCGCCCTCATTTTTCCCCATTTTCATACCTCACAATTTGAAATTTTTTCAGAGCTCAACTCTGCGATTCACTGCTCTTTTCGGCGATGCACGGTGTGCTCATCTCATTCCGGTCACGGTCCATCGAGTGCTGCTCATCCCCACGAGTCACAATCCGTCGAGTGCTGCTCATTCCGGTCACGGTGCTCTTCTCATTCCGGCAAGTCGCAGTCCGCTGCTCGTATCATTCCGGCGAGTCCGTTCTCATTCCGGCGAGTCACAATCCGCTGCTCTTCCCCGGCGCCGCTGCCCTTCCCAAGGTGCAGTTCCTCAACTGCAAATTCTTAGGGTTTTTTAGGATTTTTGGTAAAATCATTTTATGCATTCCACTTGTTTAATGTTTTGTCCCTCTTAACATTTTCTCAATGTATTTTGGTTTCTTGATTCTTTTGTTTTTTCTTATACTAGTTGTCTGTTGTATGAATGGATTCAATTGATGTGTATGTGAAAAAATTTCATGTTTAGGTGTATGTATTAATGGGAATTTATTGTTTTAATTGTGATAGAGTACAGTACTTTCTTACATGTATTGCTTGGGTGGAAAATTGTGCTCTTTTGCCGTGTTCGTATTTCATTGTCATGTTTTGTAATCGATTCAGAGGTTTAGATGTGATTTTGATATGCTTCTATATATACCTTTTCCATTCGTTTTGATGGTAATTATGAGCTTTGATGGTAAATGGTTTGTAAATGCATGTTTCTTGTTTTCTTTTCCGGAGAATAAGAGTTAAGGATTGGTTGTGAACAATATTTTTGCTCTCACTCGAAATGCCTGTAATACTACAGAATCGTTGATTTTTTTTTATTTGATTGATGATCTCACTTTTGTAAACGAAATTTTTGAAGATTTTAAGTGTGTGTGTGCAACTCGGTTAAAGGGTTCCCCATGAATCCGAGGGAGGCTTCAGACAGGGTAAATGCATCTTAGTAAAATAAAAAATTTATGTTCATGAGAGTTTTTCATTATGATGAGTGGTAATAAACTAATGAGTTTTAGTAACATTTTATTCTCTGTTGAACAGAATCTGGTATGTGGGAAGAATGTATTGATAGACATGAGTGTACATACAACTTATGTTAAGGCAATTCGTTCTGCTCAACATTTCATTTACATCGAGAACCAGTACTTTCTCGTAACGACCCTGCCTTTTGTTTTCCCATACACTTTCTAGGTTTGGAGGACACGTCGCCACCCGTCGGCAGCCGCGCCTTGGAGACCGGAGGCGCTGCTCACCGAGGTTTTTTTTTATTCCGATTTTACAAAACGAGTTTTGAATTTTTTTAATGATTCTTTGAGCTTCTGCATATTTTAGTTTTCATATTTGTGGTTTGTATTAATATTGGTGGTCCGCAGATTGAACAGCCACAGCCATGGCCGCAGGAGTTCAAAATCGAAACTGAGAAAATGCTTATTAAAATGGTTGAGACTGAATTGGAGGCCAGGAAGCAGGTTTCTGCTTACAATGGCCAATTCAAGGGGCAGTCTCACTTTTTCGGGTACTTTCTTCACATGACTGGTTTATGAGTACTATATGAGCAGCTGTCAAAGTATGGAGACACAAAATCCTCAAGAGCTATCATGCTCGTCGAGCTTAAGAAGCTAATCTAGGCCAATCCCCTGTTTCACGATAAGTTACAGTTTCTGAACCTTAAGAATGCGAACTCTCATAAACCAAAGGTGGATATCAAACCCTTTCTTTTTTGTATCATCATTGTTTTGAAATGTGATCTTCTGCAGCATTGCCTGTTTTTGATGCATATCATTGGCAGTTTTTATATGTAAATTTCAAGACTTTGCTTTGATATTAATTATCCGTTGAATGTCCACTTGAGGCTGCTATTATCATTTTTCAATGCAAAGAGAAAGTTGAGACAATCTGCATTTGCAGCTTAAACTGGCAGCACCAACTTTGGAAAACTCCAAGGCCGAACCTCATTTGCAGCTTAAACTGGCAGCTTAAACTGCTATCCTCGAACCTCATTGGTGGCGAAAAGGAGTTTTTTTGCGACTATGGTGGTGGATGTAGTCATAGCCATTGGAAACCATGATAGATTAAATATGATTGGAATAAAAAAGGTAAAATGGCTGGGCTTTTCTACTTCACGTTTTGCATTTTTGTTTAGCCCAATTATTTTTCCCGATTTTCTGTATATATACAATACAAAGGCTAAAAGACATATACTCATACTCATTAAGATCAATAAGTTTTCTTGTGTAATATTGATTTGAAGTGGTATTAGAGAATTTGTCTGAAAAATAACTAAATCGTTTCTATGAAATCACATTGCGGTTTTCTATCCCTAATTTTAATGGTGGGAATTATGAAAGAGTGAGAAAAACAGTTTCCTTAACTGACCACTTGGAAAAATTCACCCGTATGGCCATCCCATCCCGTTGTGTTAACAAATGAAAGCTTAGGTGATTTTAACCCCTTTTTCTTTTTCCTTTACATAAAAATATTCTTGTGTAACGTACTTGATCTTGCATGTTTGGCACTTAAAAGGTTGATTGTTCAAAAATTTATTTCTGAAGGTGACACCTCAAAGAAAGCGTACAGTATTCTTCCTATTGCATATTTCTTTAAAAGAATGACCCGACTACTTGTTTTATGTTCCGTGCAGGATAAGAAACAAAGATTTTATATAGTTTCTGGATGTCTCTGTGGGCAGAGCACACGGGCACACTCGAGCAATGCTTTGAGCATCCCGAGAGCTTAGAGTGCGTGAGGCGCGTGAGATGGATGGGTGAGGTTAACTGGAGAGAGTTCGAGTCGAGCGAGATAAGTGCAATGAGAGGGCACCTGCTGAAGTACCCGGTGCACGTTCATAGCACGGGAAAGGTTACGCCTTTGCCCGGGGGTGAGACGTTTCCTGACATGGGTGGCAAGATAATCGGCACATTTACTGGGATTCAAGAAAACCTCACCATTTGTAATTGTACAATTTATGTGTTTGTGATCATACTATAGAAATATCTATTTTTATGTGTAGTTTAGATTGTGTTAGCAGCTTTAGTAATGATGCAATCAGGTTTTGATGCCCCCTGTATACATGCAGCTAAAATGTAGCCAAATGGACTTTCTGTGTAGTTTAATTGAACTGATGAATCATATATTGTGATAGGGGTGTTCACGGTCCAGTTTTAACCGGAAAAAACCGTCAATCCGGACCGCGGATCGGTTAAATGGTCAGTTAAAAAAGCATTAAAAAATCCGGTGGTTAATTTTTTTAAAAATCCGAAATCACCGGTCCGGTTAACGGATTAACTGCGGCAAACCGCCGGTTTAACCGGACCGGACCGGTATATATTAAAAAATTATAAAAAAATATATATACACATACACACACACACACACATATATATATATATATATAAATATATATATATATATATATATATATATATATATATGGAGACGGTACAATTAGTCCAACTTAATATTGGGCTCCAAGAACTTGGAAATAGGGTTGTAAACGAATCGAATCAAAGCGAATACTCAGAGATTCGATTCGGATTCGTTAAAGTATTCGAAGATTCGAATTCGTATTCGATTCGTTAACGAACTCATTTTTTTATTCGTATTCGATTCGTTTAGAATATTCGAACATATTCGATTCGATTCGAAATTCGTTTTCAAAAAAAATTATAATTAAAAAATAATAATTACAAAAAATAATTTTTATTTTTCATATATTTTTAGGAAAATTTGTTAATTTATGATGATTTTACTTTTTATGTCATAAAAATAGTAGAAATATAACAATATATATATATACATATATATTATAAACAAAATGTATACTATATATAATTTATAAAATTTATATAATTATTGTTAACGAATCGAATATTCGAATTTCGAATCGAATATCTAAAAATTCGAATTCGGATTCGTTTAACTTTCGAAAATAAAACATTATTCATATTCGAATTCGAATTCGAATCACGAATATCGAATTCGAATATCGAATCGAATCAAAAAAATTTGATTTGTTTACAAGCCTACTTGGAAATAAGGACATCCCTTATTTAATATAAAAAACGTTTTACATTAATCAACCAGTATATTATTTAGCCAAAACTAGACTTTTGGTTTACACTACTACGCCTTTTTACACATGGCAAAAAAATATTTAACTGATTTCTTAACTGTTCCCACCTCTTTAAAATAGTTGTTACACTAATTTAATATTTTATTATTAAGTTAAACTTGAATATTGATTTCCATTTTTATACTTAATAACAGTTATTATTTTTTTATTTTGTTTTTATATATATATATATATTTTAATTCTTATTTATCCCCTGCCGACCCATGAATTCCTTACATATTAGTTTGTTAATGCAATTACAATCGTTTGATAAAAAAAAAAGATTGTGTATTGAATTTCCAGATTCTCCATTGATCATTGACTATTGGATTTAACCGGTTAACCGTCAAACCGGACCGTCCAATGCGGTCCGGATTGTGGTCGGTTAAAAAATAATACCGGTCCGGTTATGGACAAGAAAAAAAATTAACCGTTAGGTCTGGTTTGGTCACGGTTTGAGCTAAAACCGGACCAATCCGGACCGTGAACACCCCTATATTGTGATGTGAACCGAAAAACAGATAATTCAGTTTCGGTCAAAACTGGTTTCGGGTCGAAACTGTCGGTCAAGAGTTGAAGGGCCCTGAACCGGCCGAACATATGCACGGGCCGGCTCATTGAACTGTAAGTTCTTGGCCGCCCGGTTTATTAAAAAATAATATTTTTTTTCTTTTTTAAAAAAGGTCAAAATTCCGGTTCTGATTCGAAATTGAAACCGTCGGTTCAAAATGTATAAACTATCTCCACGAACAATGTCATGAACTCTATTTATGAAAGCTTCATATGATGAGGTCCTAAGACAGAAAATATTCATCTGTCTCACCATTTTTGTACACATTCCCATCCCAAAAGCTACTGTTAACAATTCGCACTTTACCAACGTTCATCTGAAAAAATAAATTAATAATAAAGAAAATCTTAGTACAAATATTTTTTTCAACTTTTTTTTTTCCTTCAAATGTGTGTTTAGACAAAAATATATGAATACAAGACAAAGGTTCTTGAACTGAAACAGTTTCTTGTTCAAGAAACAGGTTTCTTGAGCAAGAAACCCGTTTCTTGCTCAATAAACAGGTTTCTTTGTTCAAGAAAGAAACATATATGAATACAAGACAAAGTTTCTTGAACTGAAACAGTTTCTTGTTCAAGAAACAGGGTTTCTTGAACAAAGAAACCTGTTTATTGAGCAAGAGACCGGTTTCTTGTACAAGATAGCGTTTCTTGCTCAAGAAACTCGTTTCGTGTTCGGGTTTCTTGCTCAAGAAACCCGTTTCTTGAACAAAAAACCCATTTTTTTGAAGCACAAAAACAAGAAAACAATGGGAGTTCTAACTAAACGAAAAATATGTTCTGCAGGAGTTTTCCTCCATTCCTCCAACATTGGGAAATTTTTCGCGAGATCTAGCGCGACTCGCGGAGAATGAAAACAATGGAAAAGAAACAAAAATACCATTAATTAAGAAACAAAACACAACTCCTTTTTTTGAAGCACAAAAACTCCATTTTTTTTCTCCAAAAAAATATGAGTTCAACAAAATAAAATGGTACTAGACAAATCAATAATTTTGGGAACAACAATAATAAATGTTTTCAAAATATTTTTATTTAACATAATAAAAAAAACAAAAATTATGTTTATGTTAATGTACCTTTTTTCTTCTCAACAAAGGGATTCACTTGGTGGTGTTGGAGATGATATTTGAAAAGAGGTCGCTTTTAATTGAATTTTGGGAAGATAAGAGTCCCTTGGAGGAGAGAAGAATGGAGATGAAGGCGCGGCGTCCCAAATCTGTCTGCAGTCTTTTTCTTTTTTATTTTATTTATTTTTTTTTGTAGGTAAACATTAATAAGGGTAGAAGTGTACTTTTAACCTCTAAAACGGCTAGATTTCATTGTTTTACAAAACATGGCTATATTTCATTTTTCTCTTCCAAAAAGTATTAGAAATCGACGGGACTGTTTTAAAATTGAGTTAAGGTTAAAAACCTAGAATACATAAAAATCAATTTACTGAAAGCAACTGAAATTAAAATTCTCGGATGAACTGGTTAAAATCAACAGGGCAAAAACTATTAGTAAACGTCCGCACATTAATCAAAGGAAAAAGAAATCGAAAAGGGAAAATTTTCAAAAGCAATTAAACGAGGAGAGAAAGGAAAAACGAATCGCACCTTTATTTTGAGCTTCAATCATATAGATTATTGCTACAGGACTGATTCTTCAATCATTTTGTAATTATATATATTTTGTGTAATACTAAAAATTGTAAAATATTTTTATCACTTAATGAAACTGTTATATTCAGACGACAATCAAAAGAATAGGTCCAATACATTAACTGGATTTTATTGATATTAAGAGAAAGTCTTCAAAATAAGTACATCTAGCATTTTCTTTTTAGAAAAATAAAAACACGTTTACATCTCGTCATCAGCTAGAAATCGTCAAACAGCCATCCAACTGAATCTAGTGGGAGACGTAGACATGTGTAGCATAGAACCATTTATGCTAACCCACGCACAATACAACAAATTATACAGCTTCCACTGGTGGAGAATAAAAGCCTCTACAAGAAGAATAAAAATTAAAAAGGATGAAACTCTCCAACTGGGAGAAAAAAACCTAACACTAAAACAAACACAATCACACAAATACTAGAAAATAAAAGGAAGAAAATCTTTTAAATTGGTCCTCAATCAAAATGATTCTAGCTAGTATTTCATTAT